GTGGTTGCCAATAATTCCTGCCCATACGTTAACCGAAAATTGGTGTTGGAAATGGGTTTCTGTTACAGCATAGGGATTTTCTTCTGCCCACAAATGATTATTTTGGAAATTCGGAATGGCATTTCGAGAAAAATTAGCTTCGTCCGTGAACAGAATCATTGATTCAAATTGCGGATTTTGTGTAATTTTTTGAAGATACCACTGACTTTGTGCAGCACTGCTTCCTCAATTTCAGGTGTTCTCACACTTAGAGGTCTCCCTTCAGTTGTTCCTTTTCGGACTGAACCAGTTTCAATAAAACGACGATGAATATTAGAAAAGGTTCGACTATCTGGCAAAGCACGATCGGGATATCTCTGGTGATAAATTCATCTGGCTTGCTCACCATTACCGTCGGCAAGGCCGCATACGTAATGCATTTCCGCCATTTCTGTATTTGAATAATTCACCATTATTAACAAGATTGTAAAAACTAAATTATGAAAAAGATGTCACAGCGGACATATTTGAATAACAGAGACTTGTCAAATGTCAAAAGCCAGTGACATAGACTAGATATTTATTGCTAAATTGCATTCTTCAATTATTAAATTAATTTTCTCGGACAATAGAACGGTTTTTATTTTTTTACTCAAAAATGGCGTATCGAAAGAAACCAACTCAAGAGAGATCATTTATTTCAAATTGAACGGAGAATTAAAAAATAACTTTTATTTGGCAAAAATCCGTTGGCGTACCATTTTTTTCTTAAAAAATATCGAAGTCAATACCCGTACGCACGCCACTGTTAAAGCTAAAAATTATTTTTGCATTGAAAAATATGCAATTTTATTAACATTAACTACATACTAAATATCAGTGGAATATCTCAAGCGGTTCTGAAAATATTAATTAATTTCCATTTTTTTCCTAGAACTTCAACACCCCGAGTTTTTGTAAGTAACGAAACATTTTTGGACCATGGCTTATAAAGCAAACTAACATATATTTTTTATGCAGATTCACACCCTTAAATATTCGCATATCATTAAGGAACACCCTAAAATATACACAGGGTGTTTTCAAAGTTGAGTCATTTATTTTTAATGCTTGTTGGAGTCTAAAGGAGTTGATATACCAAAAGTCACCTATATAAAAGTTGCATAATAAAAGACATAGTAAAAGACTAAACATTTTTCAAAATATGAGTGTTATATACATATTTTTTGAGATTCTCCACCACATTTTAGACGAGAAGTTCATGAACATCTAAATTCTATCCAGTCTCCGAATAGATCGATAGGGCGCAATGTACCCATTTTTTGTTAGACATGTTCGTAGGTAAAATTTTTCTCAAAGAGACTACCTTGTGTCGAACATAGTCGTTTATGAACTGGTGATAACGTTGCGTGGAAAGGGTGAAAGTCAACCTACTCGACGCTATTTTTTGTCTTCTGATGGTACATGCTTCCCTCAGTCTGTTACATCAATAATGGAATGGCCCATTCTGCAGCAGAGAATAACGATTCATTTATGTATAGGTAATATTCAAAATCCATACATTTCGGATACATAAAAATATAAAATACTGTTTACACAGCGAGCGTTTCCAATTCGAACTGTGCACGTATTCACCCGCTTCCTACCGAGAGATTTTGTAGGATTGAATTGATTTGTAGTTTTGAAATAGTATTGTTTCTGTTCTAAGGATCCACCGGCAATGTACTGAATAAGAGCCACCCCTTGAGGGTAGTTTCGTATAATATATTCATTTTAAATGTGATGGTAAAACCGAGCAAGGCGGCCAATCGTACCCCATATGTTATCATATTCGAGTTACAATCATTTTGCCACTTACGCAAAATTTATACTCTTCCCCGTTTTGGTTATACAGGCTGTTTCAGAATTAAGCGATCAAACTTGTAGGGGTTATTCTTTGTAACAGTAGAAAACATTTGAGTATAGGGACCCATATCCGGAAAAGTGTCACTTCGGCACTACGGCCCTAAGACGCGTTCAAATTTAGAAAACGATGAATTGCCTAAATAGGATTTAATGCATTTAAGTTTTGCCTTTTGTACATGATATCATCACAAAAGTTGTTCAAACATGATTTCGGCGGACTTGACTAGAAATATGATACCCGTTTTGAATGATTTCAAATGCTGCTGTAATTCATCAAATTAAGTCTTGCTCTGTTTCTGCTCTCTTCTTGCCGGTGCCGCTCGGTGGTCGGCCAGTATGCAAGCTTCAATGCCATCCAATGGTTTACTATTAAAATGTGGTCGGCCGTCCAAAATCGGTGTGTGTGCAACTAGCCTTACACTGAATAAGTCCTACAAGTTTGATCCCATAGTTCTGAAACACACTGTATAATCAAGACCTATGTAGCATTGCACATGTATACAGGCTCGGTAACTGTGAAAGAGTACAGTTGATAGCAGAAAATTCAAAGGGAGCCTCTCTTTAGAAACAGCAACCAAGCGCAAAAAATAGCTGTCAAGTATAAAACTTTACCTACATATATCCCTAGGTATATTATATTAGAGGAAATATGCATGGCATCAATATTAGATATAGAGATACTTTTTCAATTATTTTGATGGTACTGGGTATGCCCTTCGAAAAAAGCTTGAGGATTTTCATTGCTCCAATACCTGCAGTTATGCTTATTAACAAATTCAGTTAGATAAAATGTGCATTCATCAATGGTATTATGAATAATCGCTGCAGTCATTTGTTCACAAAACTCAAATCGCCTATCGAAATCATCTTCGGTTAACTCTTGCAATATATTCATTTTGAATATTTTTTTTATACTCCAACTACCACGAAGGCCTAAGGCCTAAACACCCATTGGGTACCGTGGGGCTATAGGGGGATACAGGGCAAAGGGGGAACGTCACACGGACTCTGGCGATGCAACATGTACACATTGTGGCTCCGCCTACGAGATCCGCCGGGTGGTACCTCCGCGTTCGACAGTCAGAGACCATCTACCACCTACGGACAATCGCAACATCCATAGCCAAGAGAAAAGTTTCTCCTGGGACGGGATTCGAACCCGCACAGCGCACGGCGTCTGATCAGGAGACCGAAGAGTCTACTACTGGGGCCACCGCTGCTGCCTGTGAATGGATGAAATTTATAGAGTTTAGTAAATGTGTGTACAGAGCCTAATGAAATATCAGTCGCAGCAACAATTTTGCGTAATGAAGTATTAGGATTTATTCCAAAATGACCCAAAACTTCAACTTGAGCGGCTTCATCCAAAACTCACCGATGATCACGTTTTTTATGTGCAAAAGATCCAGTTTGGGCAAATTTAGTAACAAGATCCAAAAATACCAATGCGAAGTTATCTTTCCTGAATGTCTGGTGTTAACGTGACGGCAGTGTAGATTTGGCAAACTCTAACAGGCAACATTTTGAACACTCACTGAAATTTGTCTTAGGGCATAAGTCTGTTTTGTTTTCCATACGTCTTTCAATATCATGAATTTTCATTTCAGGAATCTCTAAAATGTCTCTCTTATAAACGTTAATATTCAAATGTCCCTTCTTGTCACGTTTTCGGGGAGGAGACATCACTAAAGAGGAAGAACGGCTGAAGCATTCTGAGAAATATTCTCAGTTTCATCTGCTGTATGCGTAGATGACATGCTAACGTACTCGTATAAGCACACGCTATGTATGCACCGAATATGTGTCAAAGCCTGCACCCTTTCCCCTGTATCCCCCTATAGCCCCACGGTACCCAATGGGTGTTTAGGCCTTAGGCCTTCGTGGTAGTTGGAGTATAAAAACAAAAACTTGGTCGTAATTTTATGGCCGAATGACCACCGCTGCATCTTTATTGTGGCGGGGCGTAAATGGACTACGAATAGAGTATACGAGGGCGGTTCAATAAGTACCCGTGCTAGAAATGAAGACACCATTTTTCCAAAAAATTCTTTATATTTTATTTTTCAACATAATTCCGTTTTAGAAGGATACAGTTTTCCCAACGTTCCAGGTTTCTAACCCCCCTCCCCCCCAAAATAGGATTTGTCGAACTCTCCAAAATACGCCTCTGTCTCGGTGATGACTGCCTCGTTTGAGCTAAATTTTTCTCCGCGAGCCATTTCTTCATGTCAGGAAACAAGAAAAAGTCGCAGGGGGCCAGATCTGGTGAATACGGGGGGTGCAGCAGCACGTTATAACGCAATTCATGCAGTTTGGCGGCGACAACTCCGGATAAATGTGCTGGTCCGTTATCGTGGTGCAACAGCACCATTTTTTCGTCAAATATGGGCGTGTCTCCAATTTTTGTCGAAGCGGTCCAATAACTCACTGCAATACTGTCCAGTGATGGGTCTTCCTTTTTCTAAACAATCCACGAGGATGACGCCGTTCGCATCCCAAAAAATCGTCGCCATAGCCTTTCCTGACGATGGGACCGGCTTCCCCTTCTTTGGAGCAGATTCTCCGGGAGAAATCCATTGTCTTGTCTGTTGCTTAGTTTCTGGTGTGTAAAGATGAATCCAGGTTTCATCGACGCAAAAACTCCTTCGGATTTCGCTTCAATTGCTCCAAGCACTGATTCGAAGTTAACAGCCGCATCCGCTTGTTGTCCACCGTGAGCAATCGCGGCACCCATCGGGTCGACAATTCTTTCATAGCCAACAAATCATGTAAAATATTGATTGCCGTTCCGGTCGACACACCTACGGCCTCTGCTACTTCGCGCACTTTCGTTAGCCGATCAGCGAGAATCATGTCGTGGACTTTTTGAATGATTTCTACGGTAACCAAGTCTTCCGGGCGTCCTGCTCGCTCCTCATCAAAAACGGATGTTCGCCCAAGTTTAAATTCTGTGAATCGATATCTAACTGTGGTCATAGATGGCGAAGTGTCCCCATGAACTGCATCCAACTTTGCTTTTATCTCCTCGCATTTTTTCCCATCCAAAAACAAAAAGCGAATTACCGAACGATACTGCTCTTTTTCAATCTTAGCGAAAATCACGAAACACGTGTTACTCGAATTGCTGCCAAATGCAAACTAACCTATCAATCAGTCTGAAATTTGTTGTGCCGTCGTTTGATAGATGGCAGCACACGATGATAACATTAACTTTCCTCAGGAACGCCCTCTGTCGTCAAACACGGATACTTATTGAATCGCCCTCGTAGAATACATCAAACAGTAATTGATAGTAGAAGTGGAGCGTACCAGTATTTTATCGAACTACCTGTATCTAATGTTAAAAAGGTGAAATTTGATATGGTTATTATAGAACAACATTTATTTTATATAATAGCGGATTAACTTTATCGTCATATCCTAGGGCGGTATTATTTGGCCGGAAAAATCAAAAGAGTTCCAATTCGATGAGTTATAGAGTCCTAATCGGCACCTCCCTGCCAGTGGGTCTCGGAAAGGGGGTTCAGGGCGGGGCGAACCGCCTCGGGTGCCAGCCCTGGAGGTGGTGACAAAAAATTGATCTAAAAAGGCTTATGATTAATTAGGGTGTATCTTCCACATAGTAACGATTTTAGCTATAGTTTCGAACAGAAAGTGTAATGGTGACAGGAGTGAACGGAGCCCGGATGTATGGTGGTTTGGTGGTTATCTTGGGGGGGAGGAGCACATTTTGACATTCGGCCTCAGGTGTCACAAATCCTTGCTACACTACTGCTTTTGGCTTCGTCATCAGATGAGCTCCATGTCATAATTATGCATTATCATATTAGACGTCCGCCATAATGGATTTAGAATGAGATCACTTTGCTTGTTGCATTTCTTTCATCAAGCTCTTCCATTTGATACCCTCAGTGGATTCAAAATCGCGGCACTTAGATCATTGTGTACTGTCACGCGTATCAACGATGTTCATAAAAGTTCAGCTCAACTGATCCCGTACTCACATACTAACATCAAGTTAAATAAAAGCTTGTAAACAGTCCCGAAATACATATTGGGACAACAAATACGTGTAAATTCATACAGTTTATTCTTTCTTAATTATACGACAAGTTTTGCAGCTGGATCTTGGACCATTGCCGCATAAAGATCTGGAAGCTCGTCCGCCACTGTTCTTGCATTTACGAACCCCTAGAGATTCATTCAACTTGTGCTTTGAAGGATTATTTCATTGGAGCCACGCATTTCCTTAATACGATAGTTAGACGCAAGACATAAAGGAAACTCTTAACCCTACTTTGGAATCGTTAACATACCATCTTTCCACAAGCGAAGTCTATCTCAATTGATTTATACTTCATTGTATTCATGAGCGCAAATTATTCTCAATGTCTACACCCTCCTACATGCACTTTATGAAAATCGTCAACATGTTGTGCTCAGAATAGCTCTCATAAGTATTGAAATTGTGATACTGTAGTAGAGAGGTAGGATTATGACATTACTCATTTTGGGCATATTTTCGCCAGTTGCTGATGCAAAGAAAACAACCTGAAAGTCGTTTTGCTTCCCACCGAATTTGTTTTCTGGATTTTTTCGGTGGTTTTTACAAAATTGACTCCACTTTAATACATAGTAATTCAGCGCCGCCACTTCGGATAACATAAGTCAATGCATATAGCGCCATCACTAGTGAATGATAAAATTAAATATACCGAAAACAACTCTCAAATTGACAACCGAACATAACGCATCCGTTAGATGGCTGTACTTGCCTTGATATATAATAAAAAACCTCAAAACCAAAGACCCATTCAGGAGCGAGATGTCATTTTTCGTACAACGTGAGATCAAACCAGGCGGGTGAAACGTCTTATGGGCGAACTGGCAGCACTAAGGTCATCGTATCCAGGCAAAATCGAGGAAACTGTGATGTGCGGCTTGCCGAGATTCTCTTTATCTAAATGTAAAAATATCAAAGATGTCGTTTGTTGTGGTTGATATCCAAATTATCAACACTGATGCTTTCGGGGATATTTCGTAAAAAATGAGCATAACATATAAAGCAACACTATCAGTAGCTGTGATGGTATAGGTGAGATGTGTTTTCGGAGATGCAGAAGTTCAGAAGACTGTCATAAGTCATGAAGTGCTACAGGCAGGCTGTGAACTTAACATTTAGCATGATGTAGTTGGTAGATTATTTAAAATTGCATGTCTGGATTCAGCCTCTTCATAATCCTTCTGGTTGGCGCCGTTATATAAAGTATGAAAGACCGACAAATTAAAGGCATATAATCGAGCAAACTAATTAAAAGTGACTAGCTTATTTACAAAACATTAAGAATCACATTAGTGTTTTCTGCATTGTTTCTGAATTACCAAGAAGTAGTACAATGAAGTGAGACACCTATGTTTAGCAACACACAACATATATATACCGTTTTCAACAACATGATTATTTTTTGAAACTAAATATATTTGGTGCTTCATAAGTAGGGTTGGATTTTATTATTCTAAACCTTGTTCTCAGCAAAGCTGCTGGAAGAGATATTACCCTTGTTGGGGATATTTTATGAATATGAATATTTTATGAATATAGCGTATCCGCAAAGTTGGGGTTTTCCTTTTCAGACACAACTAAGCTTGATATAACAAGTAGAAAAAAATAAATGAAAAAGTACCCACTGTTTAGTTGAATTGAAATTCCAAGTACGGCTCTGTCGTAAAATCGGTATTTACATCGTAGTAGTCGTACGTCGTATAACTGTACGGTGGCGCTGGCGCTGTGGACGTGATCGAGGGATAGGACAGGACTGGCTTCGGTTTGCTTCGGGTTTGATTGAGCTTGGGGAGCCCAATACCTCGGTTCTCTTAAGACATTGGTGTATATGCTACTAAAATAATCCGTTTATTTCCTCAAGATCTACAGGTCGTGTAAAGGAAAACCCCAACTTTGCGGACACACTGTATATGCTAATGAAATAATCCTTCAATATCGGAAATATCATTTTCAGCAGATTTCAAATTATTAACAAACGAAATCTCAGGAGCGTTCCTCGCATTTTTTCGATAGTTCCTCCAGATCTCCAGACAAGTAGGCGGCGCAACCATCTGACAAACGTCAACGGTGTTCCACTGTTTAACGTGCAGCTTCCACTTATTTTGTCTTATGTGTTTTGTGGATAATATTTCAACTACCACGAAGGCCATGGTTTACCGTGGGGCTATAGGGGGATAAGGGGAAAGAGGGTAATGCTACACGGACTCTGGCCAGGGAACAGGTGTGCATGTAACATGCACACACTCTGGCCTCGCCTACGAGATCCGCCGGGTGGTACTTCTGCGGTCGACAGTCAGAGACCGTCTACCACCTACGGACAATCACAACATCCATAGCCAAGCGAAAAAGTTATCTTGGGATGGGATTCGAACCAGCACAGCGCACGGTGACTGATCAGGAGACCGAAGAGTCTACTACTGCGGCCACCGCTACTGCCTTGAGATCTGAAACTGTCCAACTTGACCTACATACAACAACAACCACGAAGGCCTAAGGCCTAAACACCCATATAGAGGGATACAGGCGAAAGGAAGAAACGCGACACAGACTCTGGCCAGGGAACAGGTGTGCATGTTACATGCACACACTCTGGCCCCGCCTACGAGATCCGCCGGGTGGTACTTCTGCGTTCGACAGTCAGAGACCGTCTAGCACCTACGGACAATCACAACATCCATAGTTAGAGAAAATTTTCTCTTGGGACGGGATTCGAACCCGCACAGCGCACGGCGACTGATCAGGAGACCGAAGAGTCTACTACTGCGACCACCGCTGCTGTCTTGAGATCTGAAACTATCCAATTCGACCAACATACAACAACTACAGATTCCTTTCATGCTAGTAACAAATTAACATTACAAGTTTCGGTGTGAGTGTTGCGTTTATGCATTGATTAACATATTCTTCATGGCGTTGAATCACCCTAATCAACACTTGTGAGTATTTCCGTACGCATCCACTCAGTCCCATCTCCAGTATTCGTTTTCCTCTACTGTTGACAGTTCATACACTTGTAGTGCTGCCTAGCTGATAACACTAAACATGAATAATATGAATTAACTCACAAACGTTTATCATTTTAACACATTGTAGTTGAACCTAATAAGATTTATTTCTTAATTCAATTAAAAGAGTTGAAATGGAGTGTAATTGACTAATCTAACGTTCATTTGGTGGATGTTCCGCGATTTTAGCCTCACGACTTTTCGTTGAACAAATTGATGTGGTAGCACTGGGCAGTCCTACGATTGGACAACTGAGCTGATGAAACGCACGAAGCAGTTGTGGTTTCACATATAATAAAGATTTCCCTATACTATTTCTTTTCCCCGAAAAATGTACATTCGTCCCATATACTTTGAAGTTGAGTCATTAGTTTTCAGATAATGATTGTAGAAGGAAGATAAACCAAAATATGTGTGTAAAAATAAAAAAAAATAAAAAAAAAATTTACCTTGTTTTATAAAGTATCCTCCCGACAAGTATTTCAGTGCGGACCTGTATTTGATCGCGAGGTCTTGGAGTACCGGCATGCCGCCACCTGATTCACGAGCCCGTTGTACTACATTAACAAAGGCACGAGGGGTTGGTTGCACTAGTTTGGGAAACCGATCCGCATAAACATGCGCCATTTTTCATTTCGTTTGAGCCACGCAACAGACACCACTATTCACTCACGCGTTACCGACTGGCACTGACTGTATACAAATGAATAAAATAATTGTAAAAACATCGTTCCAAATTCTTTCGCTTTTTTGTTTCCGATGCGATGAATCGATAAGGCGGATTATATCCGTTGTCGCCAAACACGAGCACATAATATTATTATTGAGACAGGGCGGTACTCAAACTTCCAAAGGGCTATAACTTTGTTACTTTAATTTTACCAGAAAAATGGTAAAGGGAAAAAACATTTATACAGGGTGTTCCATAATTATTGCGACAAAATGATAGGGGTTGTAGAGGGCATAAAAATATGCAATTTTGCCTTATAAACCCCTGTTCGTAAATATGCCGTTTGAGCACTACCGCTAATTTTACTTTAAGAGCTCATAGGAGAAACAAAAAATTCAACAGCTGCAAAATGTTCATCTAGCACATTTGATGGTCTCGCCGATTTGTAAAAAAAAGCCTGCTGTGTTTACATTTTTGTTATCGTAAATTCTCCACACCGATTCATTTAATTTATCTGAGTGGTGCGTCAAACTAGATAGTAAATAACAGTACCTTAGTCTTAAAATGCAGCGTTATTCG